CCTCGGTCCGCCTCCCAGGTCCCTCCCCCTCGGCCCCGCCTACTAGGCCCCGCCTCCCAGGCCCACCCCCACCCCGGCCCCAGCGCCTGTCTCTGCTGCAGACGCCCCTGCCGGTCCCGCTGGAGTCGCTTAAATTCATCAGAACCCACCCACCACTCCCACCAACTTCTCCCAGCAGGAAACCCCAACCATGAGCTCCGCTCTGCACGCCCCTGGGTGAGCGTGTCATTGCAGGACCCAGGCCGTGCGTGGTCCTGGGAGAGGCCACCATGGGAGGGACCCAGGTCTGGCCCGTCAGCGGGTGGGCGGGAATGTGGACATGGGTCGTGGGCCTCAAGACAGCGAGGCGGGGTGCAGCTACCTTCCAGCAAGGCCCAGTGAGCCGCAGGCCGTGGGACAGGCCCTGGACGTGGTGGTAGTCGAGGAGCTCACGCAGACTGGGGAAGGACACAACCTGGTTCAAGTAGAAGCGGCCCTCCGCATGCCTCCAGACCTTGTAGTGCCGCACTATCTTCTTGTCACGGACTGGGGGGTGGATCCGTGTGAGGTGGTGTTGGGGCGAGCACCCCTCCCACCCAGGCTTGGTTGGACTCATCTGGGGACGCCTGGCACACAGTGTCCCAACCGCTGCTGTTAGTGATGCTGGGCGAGGTCTTTCTGGGGGACCTCTCGGCGGGGATCACAGTCCCCTGGAGGTGGTCAGCGCTTCCCCAGCTGGCCATGGGAAGAGGGACAGCAGAGTCCTGGAGAGCCACCCACGGGGACTCCCTGCCTAGCACATCCCTGCCCCGAGCTGACCCACAGTTCACCAAAGAAAGGGCACTTCCTGCACCCCAGTGAGGCCGCCTCGGCATCCCACGGAAGGAGGTGCCTCCAAGGTGCAGGGTCCCCTTGCAGTGGGGACCCAGGGTGGGGGCTGTACCCGAGAGGACGTAGTGGGCTCCTGGCTTCTCACTGACTCTCACCAGGAAGGCCCCTGTCTCGTTGCCATCCGCCTGGAGCCAGTGCACGGCCTCTGAGCGAGAGATGCTGCCAAAGAACCACCTGCAGGGAGCACAGGCGCGTCAGAGCCCAGGGCTGCCCCGGACCCTGGATCTGCTCTGAGCCCACAGCCTCCCAGAGATTGACCTTGACCCCGTGCCTGCTCTGCCTCTCAGTCTGCTCACCCCACCTGCCCCGAATCCCAGCTGCCCTTGCAGCTCCTGACCCTTCACCCCCTCAGACCCCCAGCCCCGACCCTGTCTCCTCTCATGCTGTCCCTGACCCAGAGGCCCCTTCTTTGCCTGTCCCAAACCCGGGCTATGCCCAGTGACCTGTCCCAGACACCAGGAAAGGCCCCAGCAATTTGGAAGAGGGAGAACAGGCACTGCCACGTCCCTGCAGCATCCCTGGACCCCAGGACATCCCACGCGTGGATGCAGCAACCCCCCGAACCCTCCAACGGACTGTGCACAGCATGGAGGACATGGGGTGGGTGTGTGGTTCTGCAGCTGTGGAGCTCGCCTCTGCCCCCCTTCAAACACACAGGGCACCCTTTCAAGAGGGCGCCAGTACACCTCCAACTGTGGACCACAGGGTGGGCCCCCAGAGCCCCAGGGTACCTCTGTTGTCTCAGACAGGTCAGGGTACCACTCGAGCTTTTGGCCAGTGGGTTTGCCCTGCCCTGTGCACCTCCCCCACCACCCTGGCTCCTTCTCTCCTCGAATGTCCTCAGGGCCTTTGCACACTCTGGTCCCACCACCTAAGACTGTCCACTCTGCCCTACACTGCAGCCCCATCACTGGGACCCCCACCTTTTTAAATGGAGCCTTTGTGGGTCCCCTTATCCCCCTTCAGCAGGAGGTAAGCTGAGGCCAGGCATGTTGTCTTGTTCATGGTGACGCTCCCCACAGGCACTCTGTCAGTGTGGGGAGGATGCGGGCTCAGGGAACTCAGCCAGGGAACGGCTGCCTGCCTGGCCCTCCGAGCCCAGCACCCAGGGAAACCTGGCAGCCGGGCTGTAGGGCAAGCAACTCAGGCCACAGAGGGACACACCTGCTCTAAGCCGTCTTTCACCTCTGAGAATCCCCAGCTGCCGCCTTGGGGGCCAGCTCACCTGTGACAGGAGCAGGGCAAGGAACAGACGCCCACAGCCGCTGGAAGCCTGCTGCCTCCGGCCCCACTCCATGGGAGGGGCATGTCGCAATGGCACCCGCCCCTCTAACTAGGTCATGAATCTGGTTTCGGTCTCTCAGAGCAGCCCTGCCCCTACCTTGGGACTTCTACCCAGATCTGTGTGCCGGGCCAGCCCCCAGAACCCCCTCCGGCCCCTCAGGCCCACCTGGGTCCCAGTGGCAAGTGCTTGAACCATGAAGTGACATGGAACAAACCCAAGAAGGACCCCCACAACTTCTGTAGACTTTACCACCCCCAGGTGTGAGCAGTGAACCACATAGCCAGCCCCTCCCAGGGTGAGCGGTCTAGAGGTAGGACAGATGGTTGTCTGTCTGGCCTTGATCTGGGAGCTAGGGCAGGGGCTTCAGGTCCACCCCAGGCAAACACAGCTGGGCCTCCCCTTGGACCCCTGGGGCCCCTGGGGCCCAGCCTCATGGACGAATTTGGTGGGGCTGTCCAGGCTCAGCCCTGCCTCAGTCCTTGAGCAGCCCTGGGGCAACGCCCCTGTCCATGCAGGGGCCGGGAGGACACTCACGGCTCTGATTCCACTGTCTCCTTCTCAGCCAGGTAGTTGTGGGGTACATAACCCTGGGCTAGGCCCCTGCCGGCCTCGTCCAGCCTCGTGGCCCAACACCATTCATCCTCCTTCCTGGCCACGTGGAAGAGGTCCCCAGCCTGGAAGCTCAGCTCCTTAGCCGTGCGTGCCTCGAAGTCCCAGAGGCCCACGTACAAGCGTGCTGGACCTTGGGACACCATGGTGGATACGGTGCCGGGATGAACTGCCCGGCCCAGCTGAGGCGTCACTGGGCCTGTGCGCACTGAGCCAGGCCAACAGAATGCTCCCTGACAGACTGTCCTACCCACTTGCAGACACTCCCACTTCCTCCTGACAAGGCAGACAGACCAGGCTGGCCCTGCCCCAGCTCCCAAGCTGCCTCTCTGAAGGCACCTGGACCCCCACCTGTCCTGAACCCACCGGGAGCCAAGCCACACCCGCACTGCCCACCGTGGTCTCTCTGAGCCCCTCTCTTCACAGGAAACATGCTCCCAGAGCCACTACAGACACCCTCAGCCCCTCAGCTAGACCTGACAGGCTGAGGCAGAGGGACTTGCCACAGGTGGCGAAGTTAGTTAATAGGTATGACTGCCAGCCAAGGGAGGCCGGGTTTGGGGGGACAGAAGTGGAAGTGGGTAAGGGGCTACAGACAGTCACCCCCATCTAGAGCAGAGACAAGAGTATGAGAGATCAAGCAGGGCTGCCACTCTCCCCATAAGGATCCCCACTCACGGGTGCCCCTCTCATCCAAGGGGGCTCAGGGGCTGCAGGCCTCCCTGGCAGTTCCCCTACCCACCACAGGCACTGCCAGGACTGCCCTGGGTGGGCTCTGCCCGTGCCTGTGAGAAGCCAAGTGGGAAGCAAGCAAGGCTGTGGTCTGGTAACAGGAAGAAACTGGCAGCGTGGAAAGGGACCCAAGGTGAGCCGAGGGATCATGAGTGCAGGGTCGGCCTGAGCCATGGCCCTCACCTTCAGGTAGGGGTATTGGCGCTGTTGGGGATCCCTGGAAGACTCCCCAAGCTGTTAGCTGAGCGTTTGCTCTACCCAGAGCCGGCTGGGCGTGTTGGAGCCAGACAGCTGGCAGATAAGACACAGAGGCAGCTGGCAGGGTAGGCGGGCATGGGCCAGCCCAGAAGACTTCCTGGAAGAGGTGGCTAGGAGACCCCAGGCCCCTGGGAGGCAGAAGTAGGAGAGCCCACTGCAGGGTGTGTCTTGGTGCCACAGACCCTCAGCCAAAGAAAGGGGCACTTCCCCTCGGACAGAACACCAGGGGTGTCCAAGGCAGGGAACACCCCCGGAGTGCCCCCACATCAGGGCCCTCCCAGCCTGCAGGCATCGCAGCTTCTACTTCCCAGGTGAGACCAACCCCCTTTCTCTGCTCCACCCACCTGGGAGGGCCTTGATTCTTTGCCCAGACCCAAGGCCACAGGATCAAGGTCTGCCCTTCAGGTCCCCTGTCTGTCCCTTCAGCTCACCCCCACACCCTCCATTCCCGACTACCTGCTTCCTCTCACCTAGAAGCTGGGTGGGCAGCCCCCACCCCCATGGACCAAAACTCCCCATGCAGCACCTCCACATCCCTGCTGATGCTGCAACATCCAGCCTGGGGAGCTCTCCCACGTTAGGGGCAGCCGCGGGGGGCAGGGAGGGCAGGAAAGCTTCCAAGTCTGCATGGACCCAGAGAACATCCTACAGGGACGTGCTTGTGCGAACACTTCCCAGTACTGAAGGAGGGAGGCCGCAGTCAGCCCTTCGCACCTGAGATCCACAGGAGGGACGTGTGGGCTTCAGCCAGACCAGGAAGCAGGCAAGTTTCAAGAGCCAGAAGTCCTGGCCCGCCCCAAGCCCCAGGACCGCCAAACCCGTTCAGCTTGTGGCACCTGAGTACCTTGGAACACCAGGTGACCCAGGTCCCGCCTCTGTGTCCCTCCCCTCCCAGCTGCACTCTAAGTCCTGGTGACCCTGGTCCCTGCTTCATGTCCCTCCCCTCCCAGTTGGACTCTGATCCTGTGGGCCTCACCCTTGAGAAAGCAGAGAGGAGGAGAAGACGCTCAGCTGTCCCCTCCTCAAAAACCGGGGCTCCTGTCGGGAAGCCCAGTGAGGGCTGCAGTACAGGCAGCAGCGTGGCCTCATTGGGCAGGATTCTCAGAGCCTCAAAGGCCAAGCCCTCTGGGCCCACCCTCCCCAGGGGCCAGTGCCAGCCCCTGGCCTGGGTCCTCTTGCACCTCCCCCTCAGGCCCTGAGCTGGGGTCCTGCCTACTGGGGCTGCCTCTGCCTGCAGCTCCCACCGTCCTAACCTCCTGCAGCCCTCCTGTGGTCTGTGCCGTCCCCACACATCCTGCCTGTTGTCTGTGCCGCAGCCCAGGGAGATGGAAAGTTCCAGCAGCCACATGGACCTTCTGGAAAGCAGGGGTCATCTGACCCCCTAGAGTCTTCTCCACAGCCTGCACACCCTTGGGCTTGATGCCCCTGGAGGGCCCCTCTCCCCACTGTACACTCACGCACCTTCATAGGGGCATTGGCCGTAGGTGGAGACCTGTGGACACCTGTGGACTGACACAGCCCAGCGCCCCTTGAGCTGAGGACCGTGATGCCCCACGTGTGGCATGGCCACGTGGGGCCTGCTGTCTGTCCCTCCTCTGCTCCGACCACCCAAGAGAGCCAACAGTGAGCCGGGCCCTACAATCAGGGGAGGCTGAGGGCTGCTGTGTGGCCTGTGCATGCTGGGTCAGGCCATGAATATTTATTGGAGGCTGGCTCATGTGTGCACAGGTTTGTTCACAGAGCACAGGTGCCCGCTCCTGTGTGGGCCCAGTGGGCTCCACTCTCAGACCTCCTGCCCTCAGCAGCCCTCAGGGCACTGCCAAGCCCGTCTGTGCTGAGTTCGTACCCCTGAGGCACCAGGCAGCAGGTCATGCAGGGGATGAGGGTAGCCACCTGCTGTCTGGGTGGGTCTGCGGCCAGAGCACAGCCTGTGTGTGCATGCGTGTGTTCAGCTCACGTTGTGCGCGTGCGTGTGCATGTTGCTGATGAGGCGGGTGGGGTTCCCAGCAGCAGGCGTGTCTGTACATGTTTACAGCATATTCCCGAGGAGCTGCTGGCAGTGCGGGGGGCACCCCAGCACCCAGCACCCGGTCATGTGAGGGCCAGGTGGACGCGTCTGTAGCCGGCACCCAGCTTCTCCTGCAGCACCGTAAAGGGCGGCCGCTCCTCGGGGCTGCCTTTCCAACAGTCCAACATCAGCTCGTACACCTCGGCAGGGCAGGCTGCCGGGCGAGGCAGGCGGTACCCTCGAGAGACCTGCCTCAGCGTCTCATGGTTGGTCATTCCTGGGGAAGTCACAGTGTGCACCTGCTTGTAGGCCTCCTAAACACCACCTTGCCCCTGGCCAGACCCTCCTCCCTCAGATGAGCCCCTGGGATGGGCTGTGACGCCCCCCTTGGGTTTGATGCCCCTGGAGGGCACCTCTCCCCACTGCCCAGTCCGCACCTTCGTAGGGGCATTGGCCATAGGTGAAGACCTCAAACAGCAGGACGCCAAAGGACCAGACATCTGACTTCAGAGAGTAGATGCGGTAGCTGGCAGCCTCGGGAGCCGTCCACTTGACAGGGATCTTGGTGCCACTGCTTGGCGAGTAGATATCATCCTGGGAAGAGGGGAGAGTGTGGTGGCAGGAGGGAGCAGGACCCTCCCCACTGACCCCTACCAGGGCCAGGCTGTCCTGACCTTGAGCAGCCGAGCCAGGCCAAAGTCAGCCACCTTGCAGGCGAGGTCTTCACCCACTAGCACGTTCCTGGCAGCCAGGTCTCGGTGGACGATGCACTGCTGCTCCAGGTAGCCCATGCCCTCAGCTACCTGGCAGGCAAAGTTCAGCAGGTGGGCCACGCTCAGGGCCTTGCCCTCAGGACCTGCAGGGGCAGGGCATCCCTTGGCCTTCTGCCTCCTGTCCTCAACCGGAAGTGGGGAGGGGCAGTGCCCGCAAAGGCCACAGTGGCCACATGAGACGCTCCGTGGAGCACTGGGCCCAGGCCTGGCACGCAGGGAGACTCAGCACTCGGAGGAGCCTGGTCATCGGTCACGCGGCCTAGCTGTCAAGATCCAAAGGCCAAGAAGGCCCAAAGAGGAGAGGGTCCCCACTGCCTCTCCAGAGGCCCATCACCCATGCCACAAAGCTCGGTCCAAACCCTACAACGTGACCTTCTTGGCCTCAGGCCCAGTAGGGACAGGCCCCTGTAGCCTAAGCCACAGCCCCACAGGCCCTGGAACCTGGAGGGAGCAGGTGCCATTGCCACATGAGTTGCAGAGGCCATGAGTGAACAGGGATGGTCATGCCTGGTGGGCCAGGGTAGGCTGGGCGCTGAGGGCAGGGTGCGGGAGGGCTGGCAGCAGAGTGTGGGAGGCAGACCTGAGGAGGGGCAGGGCGCAGCCTGGGGCCCTGGGGCCGAGGTGGGGGTGGGGCTGGGGCTGGGGTCCAGGTGGCAGGGCCAGGCGGTTGGGGCCAAGCTGGAAGGCGAGTCGAATGGGGGTGCGGGCATCGGTGGGTTGGGTGGACGGCAGTGCTCACCGCCCAGGTAGGCCTGCAGGTTCCCCTTGCGCATGAGCTCGGTGACGAGGTAGGCAGGCCCCCCCGAGGAGCACACCGCGTGCAGCCGGATCAGCCGCTCGTGTCTGAGGCTCTTGAGGGTCTGGATCTCCTTGGCGAGGTCTGTGAGCTTCATGTCGGCTGCAGGCAGCGGGCACCGCTGAAGACCTGCCCTCCTGGCCCTGCCCCCGCCCCAGCAGGGACTCCGGGGGTCGCGCAGGGGGTCCCCCCACCTGATTTAATGATCTTGATCGCCACTGGCATGGAGCCCAGCCACAGGCCTTCCCACACCTCCCCAAAGCAGCCTTCGCCCAGCTTCCTCCTCAGGGTGAACTCAGAGCGGGGCCGCTCCCACTGGTCCTGCTCTGGGGGCCTCTGTGGGGGGGAGGGTCTCAGTGCCTCCGCCTATGCACCCCAGGAGAAGGAGAGGGGGTCTGCGGAAGAAGCCAGGACCCTGCCCCCCGTTAGTCCCAGGAGCGCCCCACCTCTCAGCCCCAGCTCACAGGTGCTCCTGGCCCCAGACCCCAACGACACACAGGTGCTAATGTCAGCAATGCCTGACCCAGTACCTTGGGGACCTAAGTGGCCCCTTTGCCATCTGTCCACAAGCCTTCATTACTGCGTGGGCCAGGCTATCATTACAAGAACTGGGCACACTTCCGGGTGATCCGGGAGATAGGAGACACCACAGCTGGGGCTCCGCATCCCCTCCCACGGCTTCCTCTCCCGGCACGGACAAGGCCTTGCCCACCCAGCAGCAACCTGGTCTCCCCACCTCAGAACTGGGCCTCCCACCCCCCAGAGACTCCCAGGCCTCGGGGAGAGCAGCCCTCAGTCCAGGAAACACATTGGAGAAACTGGGCCAGGAGCCTGCCTGCCCATCCAACTCCCCCAGTGCCGGAGGTAGGGGCAGCAGGAGGAGGGCGGGGCCTGGGGGCAGGCAGGTGCACCTGGGGCACGCAGGGCTGCAGCAGCGGGGTCTGGATCAGCTTCCAGTTGGCCTTGTAGTAGGTGAGCAGTGCCTCCAGGCTGGGAAAGAGCCGGTCCTTCTGCAAGTACAGGCTGCCCTCGGCTGCCGTGGCGATGCGGTAGTGGCAGACCTTGTCCTGGGCCCGGACTGGGGCCGTGAGAGATGACACCATGTCCTGGCTGTATCCTGCCTGTCCTAGACCCCCACCACCTCTGACACATGAGGTTCACTGCCCCCCTGAGGGGCAGCTCAGATCCGGCCTTGCCGCTTAGGGAGGGAGTGCAGGGAGCTGAAGACTAGGGGACCAGGGAGCAGTGAGACAGGTGCCCAGTGACAGTGACAGTATGCCCAGAGCCAGGCTCTGAGTGAGCATTCGGGAAATGCCTGTTGATGAGTGAGTGAGTGATGGAATGGGTGACTGGCATGTGGCTCAATGAACAAATGAAGGGCTAGGTGAGTGAGTGGCCAAGTGAAGGAAAGAATGACTGAAGGAAGTAGTGAAGGAGTGATCCAGGGAGTGAAGAAGTGAGTGAACAGCTGAGTGAGTTAAGGGGTGAGGGAGCGAATCAGCAAGCAAGTAGCATGAGCCCTGCAAGTCAAGGGCTTTCCCTGGTTCAGCCTCAGGGCTCCCGGGTGAGAGACCCCCCAGCATACCTGACAGCGAATAATCCCCACGGCTGCTCTCACTGGGCCGGACCAGGAAGGCCCCTGGTGCGTTGGCAGGTGAGAGGAGCAGCTGCTGGGCCTCGGTCCTGTTGATCCTGCTGAAGTACCAGCTGCAAGTGGCAGGCCCAGTGGTCACCACACTGGCTGCCCAAGTGGCCTTGTGCCCAGGACTCTGCTCTGTGTCTTGCCTTCTCTAAGCACTGGGCTGCCTGGGTCCAGCCTTCAGTCAGCCTCGGGGGTCCTCTGGGGTCCAGTGCACACCCTACCAAAGGCAGCTGACCCAGCTCCTGGGCAGACAGTCCACCCATCACAGCCATGACTCTGCCATGGACTGGCTGCCATGTCCCTGATCACAGACTCACCAAGAGCTCTGGCCACAGTGACAATTAGCTGTGACTGCAGGTAGGACCTCTGATCTCCAGACTTTGCTGGACCCTCATGGGGAGTTCCCTAGAGAATGAGGGGTCCTGGTGGGCTGCCCCAGAAGCACCCTCAGTTAGGGGAGAGGCTCACAGGAGCCCCCTAGCTGGGCCCACCTGCCTCAGGGTGTTGCCAAATAGGGGCAGGAGAGCAGGGCTCAATGCCAGAGGGACCCCAGAAGAGGCAACCTGAGCCAGGCTGTGCACTGAGTCTGTGCCCTGGACTGCTCCACGTCTCAAGGTGCTCCTCTGTAAAGCTGGGTGTGCCTGGAGCTCTGAGTGCCAGGGCGAAGGGGCCCCTCGGCACCCACTCCTCCGTCTGTGCAAAAGGGTCTGTGTGTGGAGGGGGAGGGCTGCCCAAGGCCCCTCATCAGATGCCGCAAACAGGCAGTAGTCCACCTGGGCCCTCACCTAAGTCATACCAGGTGTGACCTCCCTGGTTCTGCTTGTTCCTGGAGCCAGAGACTTTGGGAGGAAACAGAATCATCCCTGGCCCTGCCCCAGCACATATCTCAGCTCCCCAAAGCGCAGGTGGGGGATCCCCACACCTCACTCAGCTTCCCTCACCCCACAGAGCCCACCTGTTCTTGAAACTTCCAGGCCCAGCCTCCAGAGGAGCCATGGGAGCCGACTGCTGTAAGTGGGGCCCCTCATCCCTTCTGATGGAAGGCACAGTGAATTAGGGGTGCTTGACAAGCTGGGGGAGCAAGGGCAGGGAGGGATCTTGAAGGACCAAAAGATGACTCCAGGCAGAGGGGACAAAGTGGGCCTGACAGGAGAGGGCAGAGATGTGGGGAGCCAGAGTGGGTCAGGGGACAGCTAAGATGGGAACTGACATGGCAGAGGAAAGCAAAGGACCCCACGGGGCCAGGGGGCAGTCAGACACGATGAGGTGTGGTGGCAGCAGACGGGGAGGCAGAGGCCTGCAGGACACTTAGCTACCATCTGTGGGTGCGACTGGTCAAGGGGCCAGGGAGTCAAGAGTGCTGGCCAGCCTGGGTGAGGTCACCTGGTGGGCATAGGCCACCCCTGAGACGGAGGCCTGGAGGCTCAGGGGGCTTTAGGGAGGAGCACACACATCTGGGAGCCAGAGGAGTACCCCCCGGGACAACCAGCACCACCTGCGGGAGCCCAGTGCACTGCCTCTGTCACATGGAAAGGGGCAGAAACAGCTCCCCCAACACCATCCTTCAGCCACCCCGCCCCCACCCCCTGTCTGCAGCCCTCTGCTGGTGATGCTGACCCTGAATGCCCTGCGCCCTGTGGGGTCTACCAGCCACCACACACACACAAAGCTGTCCCTGGGGCCTGAGGCCAGAAGCCAGCTGGGGGCGCAGCATGAGGAGCCTGGGTGGTGGTCGTGGTGGGGGTTCACTGGGGTGGAAACAAGTGGGTGCAGCCAGGGCTGGGAGTGAGGTGTGTCCTGGTGAGGGCCACTTCCCCGCTGCCTGGCCCCAGGGTCGGCCGGGTGTCTGGGGCTAATGACACCGTGTGTGTGGTTGGCCCTTTCATCTCTTGGCCAGGCAGTCATTAGCTCCCCAACAGCTTCCTCTGAGCAGACCAGGCACACCCCCCCCCCAACACACACACCCTGCCATCTCCAGGAACTGTTCATGGGGTTTGTGGTCCCCAGCCAACTCTGAAGGCCTCTCCTGGGACTGCAGGCTCTACCTTCCTGAGGCAACCGTTTAGCAGTTTAGCGTGTGAACAACAGGGGCTGCTAGGAGACTGGAGGTGACCCTGAGAGGATGCTGGTTGGCAGGTGGCCAGCCCAGGGCATTCGGGACAGGGGTGATGTCAGGGAGATCAGGCAGAGCATGGGGCCAGCCAGTGTCTGGCGTTCTCACCCAGAGGCCACCACAAGTCCCGTTGGGATGATAGCCCAGGTGCTTGAGACTCTCAAGGCCAGGCAGAGGGGGCCACGACATTGGCTTAGCCCACTGAGGGGAAAGGCGGGTGGCGGTCTCAGTCCCAGGAATTAGATCAGGTCCAGCCAAGGGGACACAGTGGCCCAGTGAGTGCCTGGAAACGTGAGGAGCTGCCCCTCTACTCCATCCTCCGTCATCTGTGATGACAGCTCCGTTGCCCTCAGTTTGGGCCCCTCCTCACCTGTGGGCAGTGCTGGAACATGACCCTTCCTGGGGCCTGGGGGCTCTGAGAGAATAGCTGAGTGGCCCCACCTGGGCCCACGCCCTAAGCAAGCCTCTTTGGGAGCAAAATACTAGCCAGGGCCTCATCTGACCCACACCTATTTCCAGCGTGTGGGTGGCACAGCAGCCCAGGCATGGGGACTTGTGAGTGGGATCCTCCTCTGCTCACCTGGCACCCACTCACAGCACAAAGTGGGGCCTCTGCTCATCTGAGTCCTGCCTGGACCCACGAGGCCAGGCCTTGGGTGTTGCTCAGCCCTACTGACCACACAGCAAGAGTTTGGGGTGTGAATAACCATCAGGGTGATGCCTCACTCCCACTCGCCTTGGACCCTTGGACCCTCAGGACATGCCCAGGGCTGGGTCTAGTGTCAGGGCAGGGGGGCCCACCGTAGAGGGTCCTCCATCTAAGTGATGCAGCCCAGGCCCCTGCCGCCCCAGCACAAGAGGTGCTACCAGCCTGTGCCCTGCTGCTTCTCTCACAGCAGTGACCAGGGCCATGTCTCCAACATGGGGACACTTGTGACTACACGTCCAACCTCTGTCTGCATGCCCACCATTGTGTCCCAGCACCAGGAAGAGCTGGCCTTGAGCAGGCACCGTGTGGCTGGACAGAGGGATAAGGACAGCCGTGCCTGTGTTCAAGCCCTGAGCAGGCACCGTGTGGCTGGACAGAGGGATAAGGACAGCCGTGCCTGTGTTCAAGCCCTGTGCTTATTCCTGACGTCCAGCCCTCGCATGCCGGCTCTGGGACCCCACTGGAGCTCTCCAGCTGCAATACTCACGGTTCGTCCAGGAACATGTCCAGCGTGGCCTTAGTAACACAGATGAGGGGCACAAGCCCAGTGGTGGGCTGCCCCGAGAGCCTGCGGGCGAAGATGTAGGCCCCCTCCTCCTTTAGGGCAAAGAGCCGGTCCCCACGACTGACGCTCAGCTCCTCTGCGCACCGGGCTGTGAAGTCACACAGCACCATGAAGAGCTGCTCAGAGGACACCGTGGGGCCCCTGGGCTCGGTGCCAGGGGGCTTGGGCTCGAGCTCAGGGTCCAGGACCTGGGGTTCACAGTCCTCCAGCAAGCCTGCTGGCCAGATCTTGTCCCACAGGAAGGACAGGAAGGTCAGCCGCTTCCTGAAGAAGGGCTCCATGCCCCCACGCCCCGCTGCCGTCACCGTGTCTGTCACCAGGCCTGAAGGGTGCTGCTTGTGGCTGCCATTGCCCCCCACTGGGGCCTCCCAGAACTTCCGACGGTGCCCAGAAGAAAATGGAAGAGGCTGTGGGATGGGACCCCTCTGAGCGAGTGTTCCTGGGCCAGCGTCCCAGCCGGCACAGGGCTTGGGGACCAGTGACACTGGTGCTCAGTTACTTCAGAAGCTCCTGGCCATGGCCACAGCCCCGGGCCACTTCTGGATGGTGTTCAGACTGGCGGTGGGCAGAAGGCTCCTGTGGTTCCCAGCCCTATCACCCAACACCCCCTTCTCTTGCTCCTGACTGGCTGGGGCAGGAGTCAGGCTCCCAGGTGGAACCACTGAGGGAGGGGCCTCGAGCCGGGCTCAGCGGGCGGGGCCAGGAGCCAAGGCCCAACTGGAGACGGCTCTACCCTTCCAGGCAGGGCGTGTGCAGGGAGACCCAGGAAACATGCCCAAGCAAGCAAGCATCGCCCTCACAGAGAAGGGGATTCGAGGAGGCAGGGGCGCTGTTCTGCTCCACAGGCCAGCCTTCCTCGGCTCCTCACCTCCCGTGGTCTCCCTGGAGCCCACATCTGTGTGACTGCAAACTTGCAGTCCCTCCGTCCCCAGCCCACCCAACCAGAATACTGATCCTATTTCCCATCCTGCTCATCGGACAAGTGGACACCTTCCATCCCCCAGAAGGCCACTTGCCTCTGTCCTGTTCAGGAGCCAATATGGCGGCTTCTCAGGGCACATCTGGAGGGGGACCTCCTGCAGACAGTCTGGAAACGATGAGCCCACAGCACCAGTGAAGAGACACACAGTGGCTCTATCCTGTGGGACTCATCAAGGTGGACACAGGCCAAGATGCATTTGTCAAATCCAGGGACCACGGGACACAGAGAGTCCTGACTGCAGACTTACTAACAGTGGATCAAACTCTCTGGACGTTGTACACAATTTTTCTGTGAACTTAAACTTCCCCAAAGTATACAGTAATTTACAAAGTGCATGGCCTGGGGTGTAAATGGACGCCCTAAGCCAGGAGACCCCCCCATCAGGCTCGCAGTGGCTCCCCTTCTGTGCCCCGCACGGGTGCACATGTTGGTTTCTGCGCCCTGGCTGTCCTCCACTCTTCCTGGACCCCAACCCTCCCCTTGGGTGCTGCTCCTTTATCCACTGTCTGTGGCTACAGGGAAGCCCCCTTGGCCAGAAGGCACCCACCTGGATGACCTGGTGGGGCTGGATTCCTACCAGACACTCCCATCTGTTTGTTCCTTGGAACCCCAGGGCCCTGACCTCAGAGACTCAGCACATTCCACAAGCAGCCAGACCCGAAGGTGGCCAGGCGGCCAGGGCAGAGGGAAGGATGTGTCCCACCCCACACCCTGTCCCCAGGCCTTGGTCAGCAGGAGATTTCCAGAACAGGGACACTTTCTAGCAGGACTCTGTTCAGTCTGCAAGGACCTGCCCAAAAGGAGTGCCCAGCCTTCTCCCAGTGATCAGACACAGGGTCTGAGGAAGGTCACTGCACCCCAGGGCCCCCCGAGACAGAGGAGCCAGGGGGACCATCACAGAAGCCCCTCCATGGGCTCACCACACACCAGCACTCCAAGCCCCCACCATGCCCTTCCTGGCTCCTTGCAGGACCCCAGCTGTATGAACCAAACCCCTCCCAGCCTCAGGCCTCTGCCCGTCCCGCGCCCCTGCCTGGGTCCTCCCCCACCCCACCCCACCCCAGCTGCCCACCCCACGCTGGAGGGCCTTCTTACTCCATATATGCACCCTGCCTTCCCCCCAAGAATTCCCAGGTACCCCCCGCCCAAGCGTGCCGGGGCACTGGCCGTGTAGCGATGGCCAGAGAGTAGTCTGTCCGCTCCATCCCTGTGACCTCAGCTCTGAATTCATGTCCCTTGTCCCCAGGTTTGGTGGCATACTCTTGCTTACCTGTCCAGCTGGTACACCAACTTGTCCAGTCCCAGGGCCCCTGACCCTCCCACACAGCCGTTAGCCTCCTTCCTTCTGCCCTGACCTCAGGAGACAGGGTGGGCTGACAGTGCTGGGTGGCCACGTGGGGGTACGTGAGCAGAGTGAGGAGCTGCACAGCTGCGGCGTGGCGCTGGACAGGGGGCCAGCTCTGCTCTCAGACGCTCAGCCTCCAGGAGCCTCGTGGGGCCTCGATTTCCCCACCCTGCTCAGCACTGGGCTCCCAGTGACAGAGCAGGTTGGTTAGGGTGAGGAGGGGCTCCCTGAGCACTGAGGATGAGGCGGTGGCAGGGCCCAGCATCACTGTCCTTCAGGTTCTGTGAGGACCCCCTCGCCATGGGTTCACGTGTCTGCAGGGCACAGCTGTGGGGTCCCTGTGGTCTAGGGGAGTCTCCCTCGAGCCCAAGATGGCTCCATCCACCAGGAGGCAGCAGAGAGATTGAAAACTGACATAAATAAACTGCCCGTCCATATCAGGGGCACTGCTTGGCTAGAAGCAAAGGGACAGGCAACCACCTGGACGGATCTCCAGGAGGTTCTGCAGGACAGAGGCCACCCCAGAAGGTTACAGAGCACATGGTCCCATCATACAGCAGTCAGTCTCCACATGACAGCTACAGAACGGAGAGGGGCCAGCGGTGCTGGGCCGGTGAGAGTGGGAGGGAGGGGCTCTGAAGGCTGATGGGGCTCCTTGTGAGCTAGAGTGTCAGGTGTCTTGTGTCCATGTCAGCACCCTGCTGTGACAGTGTGCCAGTTTGGAACATGTTACTGTTGTGTGGTGCAAACCGTTTGCAATCAGCTGCTAACCTAAAGGTTGGTGGTTCAAACCCACCCAACAGCTCTGCGGAAGAAGGGCCTGGCTATCTGCTCCTAAAGATGGCGGCCAAGGAGACCCTACAGAGCAGGTTTGTTCTGTCCCACCAAGGCGCCCTGCATCAGGGCCGACTACACCCCGGCTGGGAGAAGCTGTGTAACAGGGCCGACTGCCCGGCAGCTAGCACTACCACTGGGAGACTGTGTAAGAGGTACACAGTGCCCCTCAAACACATGGGGTACCCTGCGTCAGGCCAACTGCGCAGCAGCCAGCACCACAACCGGGAGAAGCTGTGTAAGAGGTATGCAGCACCCCTCAATTCTTATATCTGCAGATGAATAGACAATTACCTCAAAATAAAAAGTTTAATAATAATTTCATTAATCTATGGGTAAATAGATGGGTTGTTGTTACATTGTTGTTATGTGCCGTCGAGTAGCACCCGACTCATAGTGACCCCTCCTTGGGTTTCCGAGGCAGTATCACTACGGAAATAGATTGCCCAACCTTCCTTTCAAGGAGGGGCTGGTGGGTTTGAACTGCCAGCCTTCTGGTTAGCAGTCAAATGCCTTAGCCACTATGCTACCAGAGCTCCTAAATAGATGGGTAGACAGCCCGAATGATCAGGTATGTCTAGGCAAAAGGGAATATACCCATGACCACATAGAAAGTTAGCAGACAATATTCCTACATATGTATCTGTATGTGCTGTAAGGATGTCCAAATATACGATGGAACTAACAGGGGGCAAACTTATGATAATTTCGTGGCCACAGCCAACCACCTTGAGGGAGCAAGTTGTTGGACCTGTGGGCTTGAGACCGTGGTCGCAGGAGACATCAAGCTCAATTGGCATAACATACTACACAAAAACATTGTTCCACATCCTACTTTGGCAAGTAGCGACTGGGATCTTAAAAGCTTGCAAGCAGCCATCTAGATGCAAGGATGGGTCTCTCCTCGTTCAGGGCAAAGAAGAACAAAGAAAACCAAAGATTCATGGAAACAATTAGTTCTTGCAGCTGGTACACCATGAGATCCTCAGCCTATACCTATGAGACCAAAAGAACTAGATGGTGTCCGACTACCACTGTCAACCACTTGGAGGGGGAATCTATGCAGGAGATCCTGGATAGAGAGGGAGAACAATGTGGAACGAAATTTAAAATCATCTGGGGGGGAAAAAAAGAAGGGGGGAGCAGGTTTGCTGGTCTAATCTGATAGAGCCTGGTGGAACCACTGAGACCGTGGCCCCTAGCTGCCCTTCAGGTCTGGAATTGAACCCACACCTGTGGTTCCAGCCAAACAAAAGACAGGCATATGAATTGAACATGTACCTGAGGTAGATACTCTCCTTGGAGAGAACAATCATGGGAGAAAGAAGGGCTGCTTATGCACAGGGAGACAGCTCAGGAGGCAGGGGTACATGGAGGGATGGACACAGGAAAGAGTTAACTATCGGAAGGAAGTGGAAGGGGGACTGTTGCATTGGGATAAATTGTAGTCAATGTCATGAGATAACATGTGTGTGAACTGCTGTATAGAAAGTGAATCTGCTCTCTAAACTGTCACCCAAATCACAATTAAAAAAAAAAAAAAAAAGCTTGCAAGTGGCCACCTAGATGCAACAATGGGTCTCTCCTCATCCAGAGCAAAGAAGAATGAAGAAAACCAAAGACACACAGAAAAAATTAGTCCAAGGGATTAGTGGACTATGCAAACCTCAGCCTATATGACCATGAGACCAGAACTAGATAGCACCTAGTTACCACTGTCAACCATTTGGAAAGATCTCAATGCAGGAAATCCTGAATAGACTGGGAGAAAAATGTAGAACAAAACTCAAAATCATTAAAAAAAAAACCAAAAAAACAGGCTTATGGTCTGATCGAGCCTGGTGAGACCCCTGAGACCATGGCCCCTAGTTGCCCTTCAGGTCTGGAACTGAACTCACTCCTATGGCTTCCAGCAAAACAATAGACAGGCTTATGGGGAGAACATTCACAACAGGTAGATACACTCCTTGGAGAGATCAGTCGTGGGAGAACAGAAAGGCAGTGTTTGCACAGGGAGACAGCTGGGGTGGGAATGCATGGGAGAGAAGGACACAGGGAAGAGGTAACTACAGGGAGGAAGTGGGAAGAGAGCTGTTACATTGTGGGGAATTGCAATCAATGTTATGAAACAAAATGTGTATGAACTGCTGTACAGAAAATGAATTTGCTCTGTAAACTTTCACCCAAATCACAATAAAAAACTAAGAAAAAAAAATCAACAAAAAAAAATTTAATAATAATTTTAAAACCAGTAGGGAATCAAAAACAGCAACAAGAAAAAGGGAGACTGAGGTCAGGGTGTAGCCTGAGAAGAGGGGGACACGGGGAGGGGAGCCTCTGAGGCTGTTTGCCACCCCTTCCAGATTCAGCCCTTCAACCTTCGGACAGCGACCCTCTCCAGACCCACCCTTGCACCCCTCACCCCCAAGTGATGCCAGGAAGACAGCGACGGGGGCTGCGTGAGGCAGGATGAGGGACAGAAGCAGCATCCCCAGGCCCGCACCTGGGTGGGGAGGCAGGCCGACAGGGACCCTCCTAACCAGAGCAGGGACACTAGGCGCCCCCATGCCCTCCTCCCTACAAAGCAGGCTTGGGGAGGGGCAGCTAAAGAACAGACCCCCTTCCCAGGAAAGGGCCCTATAGACTGATCCTCGGTGGGGTGGAGACAGAGACGCGACAGGGCTTCCCTCCCTCCCTCACCACCTTCCAGGTGGGCTCAGGAGGGACTTCCACGTCTGAGATGGGCCAGACTGGCTGGGGTGTGGTGGGGGGCTGGGTGGGGACCCCATCCGAGCTGAGCCCTGTTGGGGGTTACACGTGAGATGGGAGGGACTGAGAACACCTTTAGGGGTTCCTGGAGCTGTGGAGACTCCATTATCCAGACCCAGCACAAGCATGGGCGGCAACGCCTTGGGGGTGACAATCCCTAAGTCTCCACAGAGGCAGGGCCTGGTGGGTGGAGAGTGGTCGCTCAGCTTCCTGCCGTCTGTCGGGATGCGGTGTCTTCTTGCAACAAGCACCGCCCATCGGGCAGTTCACGCGGTTGCTTGTCTCCCCAGTTCCTCCGAGGGGCTCCAGAGGACCTTCCGGGTAACTCACGGAGGCTGCCGGGATCACGGTACCGGCCGCAGAGCGGAAGCCAGTCTGGCTTTCGAGGTAGCCACCTTCCAGTCATCCGCGAGGTGGCTCTCAGGTAGGCGCACCAGTCCTGATGCCCGAGTCCCCAAGGAAAGGGAGCGATGCCCCTGGACACTTCCACCCTTCCAGGCGGAGGATCCGACCAGCGGTCTGGCTGGCCGGCGTCCTGGGCCCATCCAGCGCGCCCCCGTCTGCGCGCAACCCTGCAGGCCCAAAGGGCCCCCGGCTTCCCGGAGCCCCTCCGGCTCTCGCAGCGGGCGGGGCCGGGTCGCCCAGGCTCTCCGCCCTACCCCCATGCCCCGGGCCGGGCGGGGCGTCACAAAGATCCTCGGTCCCCTTGGCAACCCGCTGGACCCCCGTCGCGCGAGGCAAGAGGCCGACGGCTCTGGACACTGCGCCAGACGGCTCCGCTCCGCCAGCGGAGGCAGGGCAAGTGGGCGCCGGGGGGCTCGCGGGCTGGGGTCGCGGGCAGCGGAGACTCTGGGCCGGGACCCGCGTCCTGGGGAGGTGGGCGGGGCCGGGGGCGGGGCCGGGGCCGCCCCTCCCTGACCTCTTGTCAGATCCCTAGCACCGAGATTGGCCTCCCAACTCGGGTCTGAGTGGTCTGAGTCGGGCCCAGCCTCCTCCAGAGCCACCCTTAGACCAGGGGTTCGGTTGCCCTGGTCTGGGCTTCACGCTCATCTCAGATGCAAGTCTGGGCGTAGAGCTGCGCATGGCTTGGGGTGGCCCCGCCCCTCTAGGGAGCCCTGGAACGGGGGAGCTCAGGCCTGGCCTGGAGGGAGAGCAGACTGCAAGGCTTTGTGCCTCAGGGTGCCGCCGGAATGGGACATGGGGCTCGTTCGGAGCAGTGACTCAGCCAGGCTGGTGGGGCCCATCTGCTCTGGTCCTCAGAGCCTTGGCTCTGGGTGGTGCTGGCCCCCACCTCACCCGGGTTGTGTCAGGGGAGCCTGGTCCCTGCTCTGCACCTGCAGCTGTGGATGGAGCAGTGGTGTCCCCAAGGTGTGTCCAGTGGCAGTCACACAGGGTCACACTGAGTCCTTAACAGCCCCAAGGAGGCACTATCAGCCCATGTCACAGAGGACAAACAGACCCCTGCACTGTCTTGTACCACCACTGACATTCAGCCCTCTGGCTCCTCCTCCCAGAAGGAAATGCTCGCCACAGCCCCTCCCCAGGGGAGGCCAGAGGGCCCAGTTTTGGGGCAGTGGGCCTGGGTGGCCCACACTGAGGTGTCCCAGAGTGGGTGGCAGAGGGCATAGCCCCCAGAGCAGGGAGGCTGAGAGCAGCCCTGCCACCTCCCTCCTCCCCCCTCCCAGCTGCTAGACAATGAACTTCCAGGTGACGGGCCTGGGGCTGGACAAGATGAAGCTGGACAGTCCCCAGGCCTTCCTGGACCCAGAGGAGGCAGAGGACAGGCAGCTGCTGGAGCCAGAGGCGTGGCAGATGTACGTGGAGCGGCGCACCGCTCTACGCGAGTTCCTGACCTCGGCCCTCAGTGCCCAGCTGCTCAGACGCCACCACGCCCGCATGGAGCTGCTGCACAAGTGCTCCTACTACATTGAGATCCTGCCCAAGCAGCTGGCACTGGGCGACCCGAACTCACAGGTGCTGCCAGGCACCATGTTCCAGCTCATCGACCCCTGGAAATTCCAGCGCATGAAGAAGGTGGGCACCGCACAGACCAAGATCCAGCTGCTGCTGCTCGGGGACCTGCTGGAGCAGCTGGCCCGCGGCCGCGCCCAGCTGGACGCTCTGCTCCACTCGCCCGACCCTCGGCCCTTTCTGGCCGGCTGGGGGCGCGTAGAGCGGCGGCTGGCAGACCTGTCAGCCGCCATGGACAACTTCCTGGCCATGATGGTGCCAGGGCGGCTGTATGTCAAGCACCGGCTGGTGTCGGACATCGGTGCCACCAAGGTCCCACACATCCGGCTCATGCTGAGCACGAAGATGCCCGTCATGTTCGACCGCAAGGAGTCGGTGGCCCACCAGGACTGGGTCAGCCTGCGCTGGTTCGTCACCGTCCAGCCGACTGTGCCCGAGCGGTTTGAGCTTTGCTTCAAGCTGCTGGAGCCTCGCACCCAGCAGGAGTGTACCCAGTGCGGCCTCATCCCCGTGGCCGCCTGCACCTTCGACGTGCACAACCTGCTGCCTAACCGTGCTTACAAGTTCACCATCAAAAGGGCTGAGAGCTACACGCTGGTGTACGAGCCCTGGAGGGACAGCCTCACCCTGCACACCAAGCCGGGGCCCCTGAAGCGGCCCGCCTCCCGCTGGCGGGGCCTGTCCAGCCTGTCCCCCAGCTGCACCTTCTGACAGATGATTTTCTAGAATTTACACTAATAAAGAGGAGTATACACACATGCACCACGGACAGACATGCCAGCTGACTTCCTTGGGGAGACCCAGGTCCCCCTCCTTCAGCCTTCCCTCCCTCACCTTCCCTTGGGAACCCCAGGCCACACCTTCAGAGGGGCAGCGGCCTCTGGAGCAAGAAGGGCTCTGTCACCAGGGCCCCAGCCCATCCTGAGTGAGCAACCTAGGGCTGTGACTCTGTCCGGTGGCCCCATAGCTGTCTTTATCTGCCTCCTGGACCAGAGGCTGTCAAGGAGGGGCCTAACCCCCTCCCCAGGTCCTGCTTAGCCACAGTCAAGGCAGCCATGGTCCAGCCCCAGCTTCCAGGATGCCCAAGACAAGAGGCATTTCCCTTCTAAAATGACAACAAAAGTATTATCCTCTCCCCAAGAATCTGAAGGTCACTGTGCCCCCAGTCCCGATGCAGTTGAATTTCTGGGCCAGGAGATGGCACTGAGTACCACAGGTCCTGGTGGGCCTTCCCTCCAGCTGCTGGCCCCCCTCAGCTTCTGGCCCCTGCTAGCCACCACGCCCTAGCCACTGTCAGAAGGATGCCACTCACCGAGAGTCAATTCTGACTCCTTGGAGCTGCATGAGAAGGGTGGCGGGTCACTTAATCCCAACAGCATTGGGAAGTCTCTGACCCTCTGTACAGGGTTCTCTCCCAGGTCTCTTCAGCTGCTGACTGACCCACCCACGTGGTCCTGCTTGGCATCCAAGGTGTCAAGCCAGGCTGTCCCACACCCTCTGGGCTCCCTCAGCCTATGGGGGACTCCATCCTGGATGGCCCGCGGGGGGGGGGGGGGATTCCGCCAACCCCGGGCTGGGAGGGGTCCCCATGAGTCATTTGTGTTCCTGAGAAATGTTGAGGGGAGGGAAGGACTCAGGAGTCAGACACTGGGAAGACGATACCCTGGGGCTGAGGGTGGGAGCAAGGCTCGAAGGGAGGGGTGGAGGAGATGGGCCAGGGATACCAGGAGACCGCTCGTCTCGGGTGTGGGTACCGGAAGGGCAGCACGTGGGTCCACGTCAAAGGGCCTCCCCGCCTCACCCCCGCAGCCCGCCCCGCCCCTGGTGGCCCCGCCCCCTCCCGCGGCCCGCCTCGCCCTTTTCCTCCTGCGGGGGTGGGGGGTGGTCAGTGGCGTCTAGCTCACGCCAGCCTCTCGGCCTCTCCCTGCCTTGCGCTCTGTCTGTGGATGTCCCCGTTCCCCCCGCGAGTTGAAATCACGACCCTCATTGCGACGGAAGCGCAGCGCGCCCCTTCCCCCCGCTACTGAGCTGCTGGAACCACTGCCCTCCCGACGCGCAGCCTGAGGGCGGCCAACGCCCGCTGCTCCCTCTGCAGGAAGCTGACTCGGCCTGGTGAGGTCCGGAACACACGCTAGGGTCGCCCTACGCAGAAGTCCTCTTGGAAGGCAGGGCCCCTCCCCCAGATCACCGGGGTCTCCAAGCGTCCGGCACCCCCTCGAGGCCCTGTGCTCTAGTGGCAGCCACGCAGGACCGACTCGAAGAGTGCGCAGGACTCGCAGGGCCGTGGGCAGTGCTTGGTGCCGGCGCCTTATTTCTCTGCAGGTGACTCCCTTCCCCCATATGACACTGCGCTAGAGGCTTAGGGGGCCAGGACCCGGCCCTCCTGCCACTTCCTCTCCAAGAAACGGACCCGCTTCAGCTCACAGGTCCAGCGCCACCTGCTGGCCTGCCCTGTTCTGGCCGTGTAGGCAAATCCTGAAGGGCCACAGGCTGGCCTGGGGAGTGTGGGCGGTGCCCAGGACACCAAACTCACTGCCCCGGAGTCGGATCCGAGGCCTAGCGACCCCTCCTTGGGTTTCTGAGGCAGTATCACTACGGAAGTAGATTCCCCAACCTTCCTTTCAAGGAGTGTGTGGTGGGTTTGAACCACCAGACTTCTGGTTAGCAGCCACATGCCTTAGGCACTACGCCACCAGAGCTCTCCCCAGGATACCAGGGGCGGCATTGCAGACCAGTACCAGGCAGGACACTGAAGAGGTTTGCAGCCGGGGACTTCAGACTCAGCCCATGGCAGCCTTTGGGGCCAGCCAGCCTGGGAAGAGTTCAGTGGGATGGGCCACCCTGCTAACAGCCACCACCTCAGCCTCCTGCCATCCTGGCACGATGACCTTCAGACCCCATATCCTCAGCTGTAGCACCACACTCTGTGTCCCCATGTACCCAGCATTCTGTCCATGGCAGGCTCTTTAGGGCCTCAACGGCCATGTCCTAATCCCAAAGCAAAAAGGAATTGTCGCCTCCAACCCATGTCCCAGGACTCAGACTACAGGAACCCAGCTTCGGCATCACCTTTATGACAAAAGTTGTATTCAGTCAGACAGTGCCACCGACAGTTTCAAAGGCTGCAACGTAGACTGTGACTGGTAAAAACATCAGGAGTAGGCTGCACACATCGCCCTGCAAAGGGGCCTGCAGCAAGTGACGGTGGGTTTGGCCCAGGACCACCCAAACTAACAAAAAGTGCAGCATTCTCGGACCCCAGGCCAAGGCATCCAGCAGAGGCAGGTGGGCTTCACTGCCTGGGGCCAGAGCTGCCTGGGGACGGAAAGCAGGACACAGACCCTTGCCCCAAAGGGGCAGCTGAAGGTCTCAACCTGCAAAGTCATCTGGCTGATTGTCTCAAAAGCCCCTGCACCAGGCAGAGGCCAGTGCCTGGGGTTACCGGGCTTGGTGGGAGGAGGCTGTCAGGCCGACTAGCCAACTCTGCAATATTGCACAGCCCAGCAGTGGGAGTCAAGTGGCTTTGGTCCAGCCATCTCCTGCCCGGCAGCCCCTGAAGGTCACAGGGCTGTGGGTCTGAGTTAGGCTCAGTTAGCAGTGATGAGAGGCCTGCTCCACTTCAGGGAGGCCACTTTGCCCTGAGCTGGGGCTAAGGTCCCTGTCCCAATAAAAAATCACTGGCTTTTGGTCTTTTAAAAAAATAAAATCTAAAAGCTTGTGTCTGTGGACGGCACCCAAAGTGACTGCAGGTGGCGCCCGGAGGTGGTGCAGCACCTCAAAGGGGTTTCCTTCCTGACCCTGAACCTTCCTAGTGACACGGGGACCTTCTCATGCAGCCACTCTGAGAAGCTTCGCTGTCACCAACTGTGCCAGGAAAAGCAGCAGAGCAGGAGTAAGTGGGGATGCACCCCGACCCTGGGTCGCCCCTTCAGTCTGTCCACAGACCCACAGGCTTGGCCGCCTGCTGCCCCCGGAGAGTGGACACCAAGCAGGCTCACATCACTGGGTGACGCCGCTGCCCAGCCTCACGTCCAGCGAGGGCAGTGCTGGCGGTGAAGGCACGTTGGGATCCGGAGTGGGGCCCCCTGGCAGTTTGCAGAGGAGGGGGGTCCCTCCTGCAGTGGGGAAGGGGAAGGCAGAGGAGAAAGGGGCACCTGGGTGTTCTTCAGAAGGATGTTGCTGGCCTTCTCCAGACCCGCACCATGTGTGCGGGCACGAGACTCTGCTCCTTGTCACAGAAGTCCACCAGTCGTTGCCAGAGAGGGCAGCATCGCAGGAGGAGGTGGTCTCCTGGGAGGAGGAGGAGTCAGGGGCAGCCTGGGGCCCCGCCACCCCAGGGAGCACTCCGCTGGGAGGACGCAGCCCATCTCCTCCCTCCAGACAAACTCCCTCCCTCACCAATGAGGCAGAGCCCCTCCTGGGCGCGGGTGATGGCCACGTTTACTTGGTTGGGGTCCACGACAAACCCCAGGAACTTCTTGAGCCAGCTCTTGGTGGGCCGCTGCTCGATGTCACTCTTGGGGCGGGTGCGGACAGTGCTCACCAGAACATAACGCCACTCACTCCCTGGGAGGCGTGCATAGTGAGTGGGGAGGCGATGAGGTCTCTGCCCACCCGCCTGCACCCCCCTGCCTGGGCCTGGGCCCACCCCCTGCACCCCCTCACACCCCCACACACAGCCTAACCCCCCTGCACCCACCCTTCTTCACCCCTCTAGACCCCCCGCACCCTTCCCCCCCACACAGCCTCACCCTCCTGTACCCACTCCCCTGCGCCCTCCCTCCCCAGCCTCACCCTGGCTCTTGGTGATGGAGGACACCGTTATTGCAGTGATACCCTCCTGAGAAAGCCGCTTGCTGATCTCGGCCACCTGTGCATTGTAGGGGGTAAGGATGGCAATGTCCTTGGGATCCACTGTCCTGTCCAGGGTCAGCTGCTTGGCGATGCGGACCTGAGGGGCAGCAGATAATGCCAGTAAAGCCAAAGCTGGGCCTCTGGGCACCAGGTAAGCCCCCTCACTTGTGCTGCCTCCTCTTCCAGGAACGCTTCCTCAACACTTCAGGGCTACAGGAAGCCCTCCCCCATTCCCTCCTCCCCCTCCTCCAGAAAGACCTGTCTCACCCCTCTACCTTCTCCTCCAAGAAGCCTCCTACGTCCTTCCACCTTCTCCTCCTCCTCCAAGAAGCACCCCCCCACTCCCTTCCCTCCTCCAGAAAGCCCCCAGGCAGGATCTTGCCCACACTCACCACCGCCTCCACCTCCTCCAGATTGGCCTTGGAGTTCTCATTCCCTTCGTCCGTGGACACCAGCAAGCTCTGTTCGTGGCCCTGCAGGTGTCCAAAGATGATGGCACACCTCTCCCTGCCCACATGGCCCAGGAGGCTAGATGGCCGCTCCAAGTCCTGCCAGGTTTTCAGCTTGCCCTTGTAGAACTCCATGGAAGGGAAGGTGCAGATGTCCCTGTGCTGCAGGAGAAGGTGGATGAGGGGAGCAGAGCCCGTCCCCCACCTACCTGAGCAGCTGTGGCTGCCAGGGTGGGGGCTGCAGGCGGCAGGGGAGCGGGCGCTGGGCATCCCTGAGCCCCGGGGCTGGGCTGGCCAGGCTCACCATCCTGTACTGTGTGTCCAGCAGGTAGGCGTCTCCATGGTACCTCTCGAACAGGGAGCGATCCAGCCCCAGGTTCTGCAGGTGCTCACTCTTGACCACAGGCCTCAGCTGCTTGTGGTCCCCCAGCAGCACCACCTGGACAAAGGTGTCACCTGGAGGGGCGAGCAGGCCCGGCCCCCACACACCCTGGCTGCCTGTGCCCCACAGCGACCCCAGGAGGCCACACATGATGACTCCAGGGAGTGGACCGGCGTCCTGCCCCACTGCCCACCTTCTCCGCCTTCGGGAAGTGCACCAGGGGGATGAGGGTCTCGGGTTCCGTGGCCATGCCCGCCTCGTCGATCAGGATCTGCCGGACGTCCAGGTGCTTGAGGCTGCCGGAAGCCACGCAGGAGCAGGTGCACAGAATGACTGTGTGTCGGTCCAGCTCGAACCGCCGTGCTCTCCGAAGGGTCTTCTTGTACCTGGGAGGGCGATGGGGCCAGATCATCCCAGGAGGTCTGCACCAGGAGCCGGCAGGCAGCACACCCTCCCCCCAGCCACCTACTCGGCAATGTCCTCCAGGGTGAAGTCTTCCCCTCTCTGCACCCGGCTGTCAAACGCCCTCAGGGCTGCTGCATGTGGGTTGGGGGCCCTCCGGATGCGGTGGTGCAGGGTGATGGTCCTGGGGGAGACCTCCGTGAGGCGCCATCCCTCCCCCGCACCCTGCCCACCGGGACGGCTCTGCCCCTCTCCCAGGCGCAGACGGAGAGGCCGCACCTGAGGTTCCAGTTCGGCTTCCCCTCCCGGGGGGTCTTCTTAGGCAGGCCTTTGCTGCCCAGTCTCGGCCCCGGGAACTCCGTGGCCTCGGCCTGTTCGCTGTACACGCGGAGGGGCTTCAGCTCCTCCCGCCAGCTCCGCAGCATCCCTGGAGGCATCGGGGATGTGAGGCACTGTCCCCGCAACCCGGGCAGAGTCCTTCCCCCAGCCGTCTCCTCCCTCCCGTCCCGCGCACCTGCCAGGACATCCACGGACTTGTTGGAGGGGCCGCAGTACAAGATGCAGGGGCCTCCGCGGCCGCGCGCCGGTGCGGGCCCCTGGTTGCACTTGTGGAACCAGAACACAATGTGTAGGCCCACAACCGTCTTCCCGGTGCCTGCGGCAGAACTGGTGAGCGCCCGCCCGCCTCTTCCCGCGCCACCCCCCAGGCCCCGCCTCCACGCCTCACCTCACCGCCCTCCAGGCCCTAGCCTAGGCCCGGGCTCCCTGGCCTCTGGCCACGCCCCCCGCCCCGCCTCCCCGCCGCCCCGCCCCGCCCTCCGGCCCCGCCCTGCGCGCCTTCCTCACCTGGGGGTCCCTGGATAACTGTGAACGGCTTCTGGAGCGCCTCCCGCACAGCTGCGTTCTGGCTGGGGTTCAGCTCGTGGTGGCCTCCGGGGATATCATAGCTCTGCTTCTTCAGGAGAGTGCTGGGGGCCCCTGGGGGCACAACAAGGGAGGCTGGGAGGCCAGACCGCCCCCAGCACCAGGACAGGGGTGCAGGAGATGAGGAGGTGGGGGGATCCGCTCCAAGACCCAGACCCCTGCACACTCCCTGAACAGACCCACCTCTGCGGAGGGGCTGCTGGCTGGAAAGGAGGCTCCCGGGACGGTGGGCAGGCTGGGGGATGGGCAGGCCCAGGGCAATGCTGACCACCAGCCGGGACTTCAGCTGCTTCAGCTTTCGCAGGGCTTCCTCCTTGCGCCTGGGTGGGGGGAGGCAAAGGTGGGTATTCAGGCCTCTGTGGGCAGGGGGTGCTGCCCACCTTCTCTGCAGCCCGGGAGCCACTCACAGGTCCGGAAGCTGCCTGGGCAGCATCTCCACGGTGAAGAGGGTGCCGGGCCTGAGCACCTCTTTCGGAATCTTCTCTGTGGCCATGTGCAGGAGGTAGAAGTGCACTTGCCTGGGCGCTTCCAGCCCGCCCGCCCGGTCATCCTCAGTATCCCACTCCTCCTCCATTAGCCCGTGGGCCACCCAGGTGTAGGTGCTGGGGTTGGTACTCAGGTGGGGGCCAAAGCTGGCGAAGGGCTCCCTGGCGAGGGGTGTGGCCGGCAGCCCCTCGAGCCGGATGCAGAGGTAGGAGTGGCCCAGGCTGCCGTCAAGGCTGTGCTCAAGGAGGAAGGCCGGCTTCAGGTAAAAGGTGCCCTGCAGCTGCCCGTGTAACGTCCGTGCCTTGTCCCAGTGTATGCACACCTGCTGCAGCGTGACGGAGTCATTCTCAGCCACTGCGCTGGTGGCCGACTCCAGGGCACAGAACGGGCCCCACACGTGGGTGTACTCGTCCACGTTGGCGTAGTGGTCCTGCGCCGGCCGCGGGGCACAGCCCGAGAAGCAGTCTCTGGGCTGCGCCATGTGCTCCAGGCACAGGCTGAGCCCAGGCGCCACGGTCCACAGCTGCAGGGTGGGCACCAGGAGGCCGCGCTGCAGGCGGGAACTGAGCTGCACCTGCACCACGTCCCCGGGGCTCAGCTCCCTCACCACTTCCACCGCGTGTCCACAGGGACTCCACGCCACCTGGCCCCGCCTGCGCCGCTGTGGCTCCACGGGAGCCTGCTTCCGGATTAGGGCGGCTGCCTCGGGCCAGGCCTGCCGCTCCACCGCTGCCAGCAGCTGCTGCCACAGGGCTGGCTGCACGGGGCGGGTGTGTGGGTCCAGCAGGGCGCCAGGCGGAGGGGCTCGGCACCCCCCGGCTTGCAGAGAGTAGATGCGGAACCGCCACCGGAGCTGCAGACCAGGCAGGCCCTCCAGGCGCCGAGGGGGCTCCTCCAGCTGCAGGCCACGGTAGTGCACGGGGCAGGGCTCCGGCAGGCTGTCGCCATGCGTGGGGAAGAGCACTTGGAAGCAGCGGGCACCCACCTCCACGTCCACCACGAAGCCCAGCATGTCCTGTGGCTGAGCACGGAGGCACGCGGCCAGGTGCAGGGTGCGGGCCCTGCGCTCGTAGCTCTGGGCACGTGTGTACTGGCGGCCAAAGTCTCGGCAGAGCGCGTCGATGTCCTTGGCGGAGTAGGTCGTGCCCCCGAGGCCCAGCACCAACAGGACCTGTCTTTGCACCACCACGTCCATGTACCGGCGAATGGGTGAAGACGCCCACGTATACCAGGCCACCTGCAGCGAGTGATGGGCGGCAGGCTCCTGCTCCCCAAGGCTGGAACGGCTGAACGCAGAGCGGCACTGGGCTCTGCGGAGCTCAAGGCTGACGGGGGCCAGTGAGGGGTGCAGCTCGTCGGCGGCAATGAGGTCCACCACCTGGCTGAAGTCCTCGGTCTGGGCGGCCAGCTGCAGCTGCTTCCAGAGGGAGGCCAGCAGGCAAAGCCTCGTGCCAGGAAGGAGCTGGCCACGCAGGTGCTGACGGAGGTGCAGCGACAGGGGGACCAGCCCACAGTACTTCTCGCTCAGGGTGTCCAGCTGGGCGCTGCTGGGCGCAGGCTGCCACCGCAGGGGCGTAACTGTCTGCGTGCGCTGGCTGCGCACCAGGAACTCGGCCACACAGCTGTTGAACTGAACCATGTACTCCTTGACCATGGCGTGGGCCGTGCGGAAACCCAGCACGCTGTCCTCGTCCAGCTGCTCGTAGTGGCAGTCGCTGCCCAGGCGACACCGGCGCAGGTTCTGGGAGAAGTGGAACGCAGCCACAACGCAGGAGTCCACCGAGTCCAGGCAGGACGGCAGCTTCCGGTCAGCGCCTGGGTGGGCCCGGATCAGCAGCTCCGCCTCCTCGTAGGACAGCTGGCGGTCGGAGCGGACAACAGAGGCAGCAAAGCGCTTGCTGCTCAACCGGCCACTGCCTTTCTCGAAGGTGAGGAAGAGGGAAAGGGCGAGGCGGTCCTGGCCTGGCAGGAGGCTAAGTGCGTCCTCGCTCAGGCTGGCCGGCAGCATGGAGACTGGCTCCCGGGCAGGCGCATAGAACGCGGTGCCCTGCCGGCGGGCCGCCACGTCCAGCGGCCCGTCCCGGGGCAGGAGGCTGGCCACGTCGGTGATGTGCACTGCCACCTCATACTGGGAACCCAGGTCCCGGATGCTGAGGGCATCATCCACATTGCGGGTGCCCTCGGGGTCCACAGTGAAGGTCAGGAAGCCACGGCAGTCCTCGCGCTGGTCCGGTGCCCGACTGAGCTCGGTGCGTAACCTCTGCAGCACCTTAGCAATAGCGGCCGGGTCTGGCGAGGGCTCCCGAAGACTGTACTCCAGGTCAAGGATGTGCAGGCCTTGTTCCCAGGAGGTGGCCGCAGGCAGCACCTCCAAGACAATGCCCAGCGGGTAGTAGAATTGTTCCCGCCACAGCACAACACGGACCCAGAAGAGCCGAGTGTACCGCTCCGTCCCTGACAGCTTCTCGTGCCCCACACACTGCAGACGGCCCTGGAGCAGGCGGTGGAGGGGCACCCGCAGGGGGTCCTTCAGCCCGGCCACGAAGATCTTGGTCACAGAGCTGTCGATGGGGACCATGATGCGGGGGTCCCACGTGTCCATCCTGCACACGAAGGCCAGCTCGCGTTGGCAGCGCTTCAGCACGCCCAGCACACGGCCCTGTGGCCGGCCAGCAAGTGCCTCCTCGTTTCTGGTGCCACACAGGACCTGCACCAACACCTCATCCCCAGTGAAGGCCATGCCACAGTTGAGGCGGCCCTTGACCTGCAAGGTACCAGGTGCCACACCATCCAGCGCCGCGGCTGTTGCCCGCTCGAAGGTCTCCTGCAGAAAGATGCAGCGGCGGTATATCTCGGGCTCGGCTCGGAGCAGCCTGCGGAGTTCGGCCGGAGGCAGGTTCGTGTAGTGGCGGGCCTGGTGCACAGGTGCAGGCCCAGCCACTGTGTCCAGAAGCCCGTCCTCACGCACAGTCACTGTCACATTCCGACTCTCGTCCAGGAGCTCCTGTAGGATGGAGTCGTCAGCATTGAGCTCGCCGTCCGACAGCCAGAAGTCAGACCTGGAGTCCTCAGGCTCCTCGAGTGCTGCCTCCCCTGCAGCCGTGGCCTTTGCCTCCGGCCTCACTGTGGCCACCTCCTCGGGAGCTAGTCCCCCTCTGGCCACTGGGCCCCTGGCTGCTCGCCCTGCTGCCATGGCTGCCTCTGCCTTCTCTCTCGTGACCACAGTCTCTGCTGTGGGGGTGTCCTCCTTGGCCGTGCTGTGCGCTGGGGGAGCCACAGCCCCCTGAGCTCCAAGGGCCAAGGCTGGCCGGCCCCCACGGGCCCAGCGCTGCACCTGGGCCACACCCTGCTCGATCTGCTCTAGCGAGAGGCCCTGGGGAAAGATGCTCTGGTGCTCAATGCACTCGCGGATGAAGCTCTTCCACAGTCGGCTGCAGGCCCCAAAGGAGCAGAGGGCCACAGCGTCGCCCACGGCCACCACCTGCGATTGGGCCCGTGTCAGGACAGTGTTGAGCACGCGGGCCTCTGTGAAGAACTCTAGACTCAGTGCCCCAGGGCCATGCAGGCTGTCATGGGTGTGGACGGTGCTCACCACCATGACCCGGAACTCCCGCCCTGGAGGGACACAAGTCAGGGAGCCAGGGGTCAGGGAGGTGGGGGGCAGGGACCAGGGAACCTGCTCCTGCCCTGAGAGGGACACAGGTCAGGGGGTGGGGACTGGAGGTTTCAGAGTGCCAGGGGTTGGGGGGCCTGTTCCCACCCTGTGAGGGACATAGGCCAGGGGACCTGCTCCTGCCCTGGGAGGGACACGGGTCAGGGGGTGGGGACTGGAGGGTTCAGGGTGCCAGGGGCTGGAGGACCTGTTCCCACTCTGTGAGGGACCCAGACCAGGGGACCTGCTCCTGCCCTGGGAGGGACATGGGCCAGGGGGTGGGAACTGGAGGGTCAGGGTGCTGCAGGCTGGGGAACCTGCTCCCACCCTTCAAGGGACAGGGGTCAGGGGGCCAAGCAGTCTAGGGCTGAGGGACCGGGGGAGCCGGGAACCTGTTCCTGCTGCAGAAGGACAGGCTGTGCCCGGCCCTGGACAGGCAGTGGGCAAGGTCATTCCCAGCTTGGTCCCCAGGCCTCCATGTGAGGACAGCCAAGCCCCTTACAGAACATGCCCCCCCATTTGCACCCCGCACCAGGAGCCTCAGGCCATGCAGGGGAGGCTTGGCCTCAGGACTGGCCCCGGCGCAGGGCCTCGCCCACCTGGCAGGATCTCAAAGCCGCCCACAGACACATCTGCCAGGCGCCTCCTCCTCAGCTCCTGCCTCAGGGCACCGACCTGGAAATGCAGCAGGGCCCACAGTTCAGCTGGGCCTAGCCTTGTGTCTTCCTGCTCCCACGGGACACACAGGGCCGGCCTCTGGGCCTCTCCCCCACACGGACAAAGGACAGGCCCCTGCCACACACCGCTGGCCACCTCTCCCCATTCTACCCCACCCCCTCTAGGCAAAGACTTCGGCCCCTCTAACGAATGGGGAGGCCGGAGCTCAGGGGGCCCAAGGGACAGCCCCACTCCTGGCCAGGGCAGGCTCTCACCTGGGCCCCGTGGGACACCACGCAGATGTGAGGCTGTGCCCGGCTGCCCCAGCAGGGGGGCCAGGTGTCATAGACCTCTTGGACCTTCTCGACCACCTGCAGCAGCTCAGCGGGGTTGAGCCAGGACGTCTGGGACATGTCCCTCTCGGGGCGACCCGCCACGTGGCAGAACATGAGTGGGTAGTGCTGGGGGTGGTGTGGGACGCGGCCGCTGGCGTGGATGGGGTTGCCCTGGGCCAGGTAGAAATGCCGGGACACAAAGTCCACAATGGCCTGGGTGGAGCGGAAGTTCTCGTGGAAGACCATGCGGCTCTGCCGGGCGACTGCGTGGGCCTCCTGCTGGTAGTGCAGGAAGAGGCGGTTGAACAGGGTGTGACTGGCCGCCTGGCTGCTGGCCACACTGAAGAGCTTGGGCGTGACCTGCAGGTGGTCGCCAGCCAGGACCACGCGGGTGCTGGGCGTGGCGTAGCACAGCGGGGTCAGGGCCTCGCACTCCAGCATCTGGGCTGCCTCGTCGATGAAGATGTGGGAGAAGAAGCCCTCAGGCACCTGCAGCACGCGTGCCTGCGAGGTGGTGGTGACCACGACTCGGTGCTGCTGCAGCTCCGTCCGCGTTGGCTGGCGGAAAGCCCGGCGGTCCTCCGTCAGGCAGCAGTAGCCCAGCGTGGCCGGGTCTGTCTGGCTGGGAGGGCGGTCTGTGTACATCACCCGGAGTGGCGTGGCCTCGGGGTGGCCATTGCAGACGTGGCTGTGGAGGTACTCCCGGATGTAGATGTCAGCCGCACTGGGGGAGAGACGTCACCGTGAGACACAGATGCCACTCTCAGGGGACTCAGGTCAGCAGAGGGGACAGACACACAGAAGTGCAAGGAGTCAGGAAGAGCCCAGAGTATGAGGGTGGGGGGGGCAGCGAGAGGCTTCCCCTACGAGGTAGCATCTGAGCTGAGACGGGGGAGGGGCAGAACTGGGGCCACATCTCAAGGCCCAGAGTGGCTGGAGGTGACCCTGAGCTCAGCTCCTGGACAGGTGTTGGGTTGATGTCCACATCCTGGCCCTTGGAACCTGTGACCTTAGTGGAAACAGGGTCTTGGCAGATGTGGCCACCTGAGATACACATCACACTGGATGAGTTGTCGGCGTTGGTGCCATGGAGTCGGCTCTGACACAGTGACCCCATGCACCACAAACGAAACACGGCCTCTCCTGCACCAGCCTCCCAGGCCTCACGGTGCCCGAGCCCATCATTGCAGCCACTGTGTTGGTCCATCTTGCTGAGGGTCTTCCCCTTTTCACTGACCCTGCACTTTACCAAGCACAATAGCCTTCTCCAGGGAATGATCCCTTTTGACAACATGACCAAAATACATAAGATGAAGTCTGGCCATTCTCTCTTCCAAGGAGCATTCTGGCTGCACTTCTTCCAGGACAGATTTGCTAGTTCTTCTGGCAGTCCATGGTACTTTCACTATTCTTTGCCAATCAAAACCAAACCAAACTCACTGCCATCGAGTTGTTTCCAACTGATAGCAACCCTCACTGGGTTTCCAAGGGTGTAAATCTTTACAGAAGTAGATTCCATGGAACAGCTGATGGGTTTGAACCACTGACCTTCCAGTTTGTAGTCAAGTGCCTTATCCACCATGCCACCAGAGCTCCTTCTTTGCCAACACCACAACTCAAAAGCATCAACTCTTCCTTGTCTTCCTTATTCATTGTCCAGCTCTCACATGTGAATGAGACCACTGAAAATACATGGCCTGGGTCAGGCGCACCTGAATCTTTAAAGAGACATCTTGGCTCTTTGACATTTTAAAGAGGTGTTTTCCAACAGACTTGCCCCGTGTGATACGATGTCTGATTTCCTGGCCGCTGCTTCCATGGGCGTTGACTGCGCATCAAAGAAAAATGAAATTTTTGACAATCTCATTCTTTTCTCTGTTTATTATGACTTCGCTTATTGGTCCAGTTGTGAGGATTTTCGTTTTCTTTATTTTGAGGTGTAATCCACACTGCAGACTGTAGTCTTTGATCTTCATCAGTAAGTGCTTCAAATCATCTTTACTTTCAGCAAGCAAGGTTGTGTTGTCTGTATATTGCAGGTTGTTAATGAGTCTTCCTCCAATCCTGATGCCACACTCTTCTTCATATAGCCCAGCCTCTAGGATTATTTGCTCAGCATATAGATTGAGTAAGTATGGTGAAAGGATACTACCCTGACAAACACCCTTTCTGATTTTAAACCATGCAGTGTCCCCTTGTTCTGTTTGAACGACAGCCTCCTGGTCTCTACAGGTTCCTCATGAACACAATTAAGTGTTCCGGAATTCCCTTTCTTCTCAGTTATCCATAATTTGTTATGATCCACACAGTCGAGTGCCTTTGTGTGATCAATAAGACCCAGGTAAGCACCTTTCTGGTATACTTTGCTTTCAGCCAAGATCCATCTGACAAAAGCAATGATATCCCTCGTTCCACGTCCTCTTCTGAATCCAGCTTCCATTTCTGGAAGTTCCCTATCAACATACTGCTGCAACCATTTTTGAATTACCATCAGCAAAATTTAACTTGTGTGAGATATTAAAGTATCGTTTGATAATTTCCACATTCCGTGGAATCACCTTTCTTTGGAATGGGCACAAATATGGATCTCTTCCAGTCAGTTGCTCTGGCAGCTGTCTTCCACATTTCTTGGCATAGACGAGTGAGTGCCTCCAGGGCAGCATCTGTTTGTAGAAATATCTCAGGGGGTATTCCGTCAATTCCTGGAGCCTTGTCTATTGCCAATTCCTTCAGCGCAACTTCAGTACTGGATGAGGATGGGCCCCATATCCAACAAGTGCCTTAGAAGAGACGCACGGAGGCCTGATGAGGAAGGTGGAGGCTGGAATGGTGTCGCCACAGCCCAAGGATGCCTGGAGCCACCAGAAGAGATGGAAAGGAGCCCCCTGGGCCCCAGGAGCAAGCACAGCCCTGCCACACCCTCATCGGGGACTTGGCCTCAGAACAGCAAGGGGATGTGTATTTGTGATTTGAAGCCTCGTGGTCTGTGGCTCATCACAGCAGCCCCAGGACACTCACTCAGCAGGTGTATGGTGAGACCCAGCTCCTCAGCTTCCAGGGCAAAAGGAGGAGCAGAGAGGCCATGGAGGGCCCCTGCCCCAGCCCCTCAGGCCCCAGGACAGCTCCACAGAGGAGCCCTGGGCCTCTCGTAGGTACCTGCCCACCTTGGCCCGGCTAGCCGAGCCCAGCCCAGGCACTGTCCTGGCTCTTCCGCCCTAGGACAGGGAAGGGGAAGCCCCAGCTGAGCATCAGTGCGCAGTGCCGAGAGCTAGGAAACCACAGTGGCCAAGGAGGAAGTCCAGGCTGCGAGAGCAACCTGTGCTGCTGCAGAAAACAAACACACAACCCGCCCAGGAAGTGCCGACACAGCGCAGCACACCCACCACGCCCTCTCCTTGGTCCAGAGTCACTGCCAGCGCCCCCCGCCGGCCCCAGTGCAGCCCGAGCGGGGCTGAAGTGCAGACTGCCACAGCCCGGGGCCCAGGCCACCAGCTGCAAGGGTCAGGAGTGGAGGAACAGGCTCTGCGGGTGCACACCGGTCCTCAGTCGTGCTCCAGAGCCTGGCAGCTCTGGGTGGCTCGGCAGCTGAGTATCTGAACCCAGACTTGTCTGCCCAGTCTCGGCCTCTCTCCAGGAGACACCCGCACAGCAGCCCTGGAGTAGGGCCTTGGTCACCCCCGCACACCTTGGGGCGGTCCAAGTCACCAGCTCACCTGTTGGTGTGTGTGCAGATGAGCACCTTGGTGTGGGGCTGCCGGATGACCTCCAGGGAGGCCATGGCCAGCGTGTAGGTCTTGCCAGTGCCAAAGGGGCCATAGATGAGCAGTGGGGGGATGTGCTTCGGGCCCCTGGAGCCCCCAGAGATGAGCTCCACTGCCAGTTTCTGCTTGCTGTTGCCACGCAGGGTGGGTGGCACAGGGCTTGGATGAGGTAGGGCACAGGCTGGCAGGTCAGGCAGCACCAGCTGGGGCTTGGGCAGCGCATCCACCGCCTGGTGCCAGAGGCGGAAGGTCATTGGGTCGACCTGGAACTGCACCTCCAGCACGGCTGTGGCCTTGGGCTGCAGCCCCAGGGCCGAGCAACAGCGGGCTGGCAGCAGCAGCCACAGGGCTTGCTGGAAGCCGGCCCGGGACTCCAGGCGCGCCTCGAACACCCTGTGGTCAGGTGCCGGCACGGGAGCCACCAGGGCCGTGCTGACTGCCCGGCTCAGCAGGAAGCCCTGGTCTGTGTCCGGCATCAGGGAGGCAGGCAGGGTGACCTCAGCATAGAGTGCCCCGGGAGGTGCAAAGAGCAGGCCCATGGCTGGGGTCTGCAGCGTCTTCGTCAGGGACACCTGGGCCCGCAGGTTCAGCCTGGGGGGAGGGCCGGTCAGCACAGGGACCCCAGCAGCTGCATACCCCTCCCCCCAGCCCCTTGACTCACTTGGCCACCAGCCGCTGCCGCGCTGCCTCCTCCTCATAGAGAAATTGGTGCATCCGCTGTCGGTAGTTGGTGCAGGTGACAGGGCCAGAGCTGGGGCCGCTGGCACAGAACTCCAAGGCCAGCGCGGGCGCCTTGTACTTGGCCATCAGGGCGACCTGCTCAGCAGTCCGCTCCACGCTGGGCACTACCTGGCGGTTGCCAGTGTGCCAACGCTCCAGCTCCTGGGGGGGGTCAGGCGCCGGGGCCCCCTGGCGCCCCAGGCCACACAGCTGGCCCAGCTGCAGCCCGAGCTTTCGCAGCAGTGCGGGCCGGCGTCCGAAGTCAAAGACCACCCACTGCTCGAAGGTGCCGAAGGATGCTCCCTGCACACACACCCTCACCTGGAAGTTGGCCGTGGAGCCCGGCATGCGAAAGTGCTGCCCCTGAGCATAGAGCTGACCCTGGCCCTGCGGCTGGTGGGTCACCAGCAAGAACTCGGCCCCCAGCACCTGCCTGAGCAGGGCCACGTGTAGCAGGGGCTCCTGGGAAAAGAGACAAGCAGTGAGGACCCCAGCTCCAACTCAACTGGGTTTGTAGCCTAGCCACTTCCTGGCTGTGTGACCTCAGCAGGCTGCTTGCCCTCTCTGAGTCTCATTTTCTCATCTGCAGAATGCGGGTGCAGAACCTGCTGAATGGTCCCTGTAGGTGCTAGTGAGGAGCTGCACACAGCATGGGACACACAGGTCACGGTGACCACCTGGCTTTGTGGGTGAGGGAACCGGATGACAGAGGCTGAGGGACTGCTCAGCTTACACAGACTCCATGTTCCCCACATCTGCCCGATACGGTTACAGTTCCAGGGATGCCGCAGACCCCAGGCCTCGGGCAGTGCCCTCCTCACCTCCGAGTGGATGCTGAACGTCCAGCAGTGCTGGGCGGTCCTCCCCTTGGCCTCATGCACCAAGGGCTGGTCGCAGGAGATGGACACACCGTCCACGGTCTCTGCCAGCTGCAAGGGGCCTTGGTGGTCAGCAAGGCTACCTCCCCGCCCTCAGTCACCTCCCCCGTTCCCTCCCCCAGCCTGCCCCACACCTCACTGGGCCCCACTCCCTGTGCTCACCACAAGGACCTCGCTGCTGCTGCGCTGGTACTCGGCCAGCAGCCGAGCCTGGTAGGACACCAGCCCCTCCTGCCAGGCCGCCTGCTCCCGCAGCTCCACTGTCCGCGCCCGCTGCACCCACTCCTGCAGCTCCTGCACTGAGTGTGCCTTCGTGCAGGCGCCCCTGTACTCGCACACGTCAGGCCTGGGGGCGGGAGTGGTCATCAGGGCCCTGAGGTGGGGACCTGGGCCCTCCTCTGCCTGGGCACCCCGTGTCCCTGACAAGGTCCGGCTCCTCTGAGGCCAAGGATCTCAGGCGGGCATCAAGGCAGGGGCCCTGTGGCCCAGCGGAGTGGGAACCTGGGTCCCCACGCCCTGACCACAGCTGTGCTTACCTGGGGCAGAGCTGGAACTCGGAGAGCCCAGCGGGCGGGGCCCGGTGCTCCCAGGACATAGACGGGTCGAATGCCACCATCTGCGCATGCTCCGGGGACGCGCAGTGGTTCTCAAAGGCCTCCAGTGAGTGACAGGTGAGCAGGCAGGTGCGGCAGTACAGCTGGAGGCTGGGGGGCTGGCTGTCCCCAGGGCCAGGGGCCGTGAGCAGGTCCCTGCGCTGCAGCCCGGCCCGCTGCTCCGCCTCCCACACGGCCATCTCCACGGCGCTGTGGGCGAACTGGCAGTGGGCCGCCCCGTGCCGGCACGGCTGCCCCCGTGCCACGAACCTGCAGTAGGCCAGCAGCAGCCTGTTCTGCGGCAGCGGCCGCACTTCTACCAACTGCTGCTTGCGGAGGTCGGCGCTCACGTGGGCCAGCAGCGGGCGGCAGGCTCCGTGCTCCGGGCACTGGCCCTGGGCGTCCACAAGGCAGAGACGTGGGGGGCACAGCCGGAAGCAACTGCAGCAGAGCTGCCGAAAGTGGCCTCCAAACTCGGCCCGGATGGTGGCAGCAGGACTGTGCTGGCCGCCCGGGGCCCCGGCGTGGCCACCCTGCACCGCGGCCTTCAGCCACAGGCGGGAGACGCGGTGCTCACGCTCAAAGGTCCAGACCAGCGCCTCCTCGGGGCTGCGAGCGAAGGTGCACTGGTTGTGGTGGCGACGGCAGCCGAACCCCGGCCGGTAGTAGCGGCACACGCAGTAACGCGCGGGCCGCGGGAAGCTGGGCCGCGGGCCCACGTGGCGCCAGGTCTTACGCGGGGCGTTGCACGTGGAGCAGGCCAGCAGGATGTCTCTGGGACAGCTATGCTCCACGTCACTGCGCAGCAGGTAGGTGCTCTCGTTGAGGCGCTGGGTGCAGCGCGAGCAGCCCAGACGCAGGTCCACTCGCTTGCGTAGGGCATCCAGGGACGGCCCCTTGTCGGCTGTGGGAGCAGCAGGCAGGCCACGCACCAGGGACCCCATCTTAGGCCCCCGCCTGGCTCTGTGGCAGACAGCTTCGAGGCTCCCAGGCTTAGCTGGTCCTCTGGGCAGGAGGAGAATAGGCTCAGGGCTGGGCCAGGAGGGGCCGCAGGCAGCTGGGCAGGACAGAGGCTGCAGGGCAGGAGGACTCTGTCCAGCGAGACACCAAGGAGACACTGTTAGCACCGGGCCCTCTGGACCTGGGTCTCTCAAGGAGGTGGGGCCCCACTGACCTTGACCTTGCCAGCCTCCACTCTGAGGGTCTCATGTTCCCCCCAAGGGGAGCCAGAGTGGCTGAGCAAGGGACAGAAGTCTTGGAGAGGCCAGGAACCTTTCCCAGGTGGGCGGTCCCTCTGGCCTGTGGAATCCTGGGTGCTCCCAGCAGCACCCCAGCTCTCATGGGCCCAATCTTCTGATACAGGAGCCCCTTTTCTAAGAGAAGACAGTGGTTCCAGGGGACAGTGCACCCATACCCACCTCCATGAGGGGTTGGTTTCCTTCCCACTGGGGGGCACAGGCAGGCCCAATGGGCAATGGTGAAGGAGACATGGGAGGCTGGCCCTGCCCAGGTCATCCTACAACCCACATCAGCTCACTGTGGCAGGAGAAACGGACGCCCCAGGCCCTGCTGTGCTGTGGAGGCCCCAGGTCGGGCAGGGGCGGTGAGCTAGCTCCTGCGAATACTGTCCCATTGGTCCAAGGGAATGTTCGAGGAAAACTTTGGGGGCGACACAAACGCAGTGTTCTTAAAGGAGAGGTTGGCACTCGGCCCTGACTCCAGAGAGGCCACAGTGGGATATTCACACCAAGTGGCCTTGTAGAAATAGGAGTGGCTGGAACCCGTGAGGGCCAGGTGGAGGGCTAGGGGCTTGGGGGCCTGAGCGCCCGAGCCACTCCCTTGTCCCCACAAGGGAGGCTGTACTGGACCCCAGGATGAGGCTCCGGAGGTCTGGCCAACGGGTCGTTAAGTCAGCTCCTCTCCGGGGGGGAGGGGGAGGCCTTGGTTCCCGGCCTCTGAGTCCATGAGCCCCCTCAGCAGGGTCCTGCCCCCTTCCTTGCCCCCAGGTCCAGCCCCTGCAGCCTCCCCCTGACCCACGGCCAGGGTGCCAGGGGTGCACGGTCCCCCTAACCAACGTTCCCCGGGGAAGGCGTATGGGCAGCGGCCATCCCCAGCGGAGAGCCCTGGCCCCATCTCGGGGCGCTTACCCTGCGCAGCCTCCGCCGCCGTCGCCGAGCGCTGTTGAATGGAGCCCCATTCGGCTGCACCGGGGGACCCCGCCCCGCGCCGAGCCGTCACTTTCGATTCTGCCCCAGGGTGACTCAAACCTCTGACGCCAGATCGCGGAAATTACCTCACTGACCCCCGCCCCGCCCCCACCCCATGCCCCCCCACCCCCAGCTGCCCTCCGCCCTCAGTGGCCTGAGCCGCCCAGGCCCCGCCCTCAAGTGGCCGCTAGTTGCACCGCCCCGGACCTGCCGAGCGCGCCCCGCGACTCCGGGCGCGCGGCCGCTGGCCTTGAGACCTCTCCCCATCCCCCAGGCCCCCAACCCCGCCAGCCTCGGCCTCACCTGCGGATGTCCGGGCGTTGAGAGTGCCGCTCAGCGGCTTGCTCACGGAGGCCTGTTACCCGGTGGGGAAAGCAGGCCCCAGGCAGGTAGGGTGGGCTGCGGGAGGGGGCATCGGGGAGGGGAGGGGTGGAGAGCAGGGACCGGGGTCCTGCCCGCAGCGCCTTTGGAAGGGAGGGACCCCGGCCGTATCACCCCAGGAAACTCTGGTGATCATACACAACCTGTGAACGCACCCAGAGCATGCCAGTTCTCTAAGGAAAGGGCCCCAGAGATGTTTGAACTGCCAGGGTCAGGAGAGCTGGGAAGTTCCCTAACTCTGAGTAGAGCAGGAGCAGCCAGGGACCCGCTCCAAGGATCTTAAAAACCAAAACCAAACTCACTGCCCTGGAGTCCAATCCGATAGCCACCCCTCCTTGAGTATCCGAGGTGGTACCTCTGTGGAAGATTGCCCAGTCTTCCTTCTGAGGAGTGGCTGGTGGGTTTGAGCCACCAGCCTTCTGGTTAGCAGTCAAATGCCTTAGACACTGCACCACCAGAGCTCCCCCAAGGATCTTAGAGTCACATGTGAACCCAGCAACCCTCCCACTTGCCTGTGGAGGAGCCACCATCAGCCAGCCCTACTGAGGAAACTGAGGCATAGTGGCGACAGCTAGTGACTAAGTGTCTGACCCCCTGACGGAGCAGTTACTCTGGTGTCTCAGTACCCTAGCCTCCTGTATTACTCCAATGTGTAGCCCTCCCACAATGACAGAGGCCAATAGAGTCACCAGTAGAACACAGTGGAAACTGGAGGTGACCTCCAAGCCTAGTGTAAGAGGCACTGCGGCTGCTGCCCACTTTCTTGGATTGCCAGCCACCATGTTGTGAGGGGGAGCTCTGGTAGCATAGTGCTTAAGGCACCTGACTGCTAACCAGAGGGCTGGCGGTTCAAACCCACCAGCCACTCCTCGGAAGGAAGATGGGGCAATCTACTTCCACAGAGACACTGCCTCGGAAACCCAAGGAGGGGTCGCTATAGTGGGGTCCAACTCGACGGCACATAACAACAACAACAACAACATGTTGTGAGGACACTCAAGCAGCTCCCTGTAGCGGTCCATGTCAGGAGGAACTGAGGCCTCCTGCAAGCAACCAACACCAATGTGTCGAGCACAGGTGTGAGTCATTTTGTAAGCAGCTACTCCAACCCTATCAAGCTGGTGCAGCCAACAGCATCATGAGAGACCCCAGGCCTGAACCACTCAGCTAAGCTGCTTTCAACTGTGACGTATCCAATGTGTGAGGTGATGAAGGCTTATCGTTGTTTTCAGCCACTCAGTTTCTCCATGATTATTTTATACACACCCACATTGTCCCTCAAACATTGACGCACTGCTCTCTCAACTCAAAGTCAATATCCTGTCGGAGGTGGGCAGCTCAAGTCAGGAAGTTGTCTGGGTATACCACTAGTAACCATAACAGTAGCTGTATACATCAAACATAAAGTTAGAAGACAGTATGGAAGGTCCCATAGCTAAAGCATCAACAGAAGACCTAGGATAAGCTTTAAAAACATACGCAAAGACTATGTCCTGACAGACACAACAGAGCACTATAAAAAGTGGATAGGACACCATGTTCTTGGGTAGGGAGACTTACCACTACATAAAGATGGAACGCTTGAGACTATGGCCCTTAGACACCCCTCAAGTCGGGAACTGAACTCACCCAAGTGGTTCAACTTTCAGCCAAATAACAGGCATATAAGGTGAACTGTAATACCAGGAAGATATGTACTCATTAGGACACGCCACCATAGGCGGTCAAAGGGCAGCATTTGCCCAGGGATAAACCAAGAAGGCAGGAAGGGACAGGAAAGAAGAACCAAGGGAAAAGGTAAACAAGAGGGAGTGAGAAACGTGTTATTCCATTGTGGGGATTGCAATGAATGTCACAAAATAAAATGTGTATCAGTTGTTGAATGGAAAACCAATTTGCTCTAACCTTTCACCAGAATCACAATTAAAGGGGGGGGGGGGGAGTCAATTCTTCCTAACCTTACCCATTAACTTAATGAAATCCTGATAGTTCCTACAGAAAAACCTAACAAACAATTAAGAATGGGCAGGAAATTTAAAATAAATAAATAAAGGGTACTCATCCTACCAGGTATCAGAACACTTTGTAAAGCTACTGCACTGAGATACATGTGGGCTGGCTCATGAATGGGTAGCCAGGTCAGCCAGCAGAATGGAGGGTGCAGAAGGAGGTTCAGATGTACACAGGTGTTTGGTACACAATGAAAATGGCATTTCAGACCACTGGGAAAGTGGCTGATTCGACTGTGTTCAAGACAATTGGGTAGCACCTTGAAGCAAAAATGGCAGGGAGGAAGAACCTCCACAAACACCTTCAACCATCTGCAACAGCAAATGGATCAAAGATTTACACAGAAAAAAAATAAAGATACTAGAAGCAAACCAGGTAGCTTGCTTGTTTGTTTTGTTAAGTAACGCTGTGGATCTGGGGAAGCCTTTCCCAGTGAAACCCAACCCTCACAACAGGGTTCCACCCAAGCGAGCTGAGCCAAACGTTCGTCTCCCTCCTCTCAGTTCCGACTTGAAATCAGCCACAGTGGGAATATTTACTTCATGGAAATCAACCAGCACTGGGAATTGGGGCCTTCATCTCCCTCCTCTGGAGCCCTGCTTGTTAAACATTAACCAGCAGAGCACTGCCTGAAAACAAAAACGACTGATGAATCCAATCACACGGAAGTCATACCTCCTGCAGAAGACAAAGCAACGTCCACATCAGTAGATGGTGTATCAACCACATGGAAGTCATACCTCCTGCAGAAGACAAAGCAACGTCCACATCAGTAGATGGTGTATCAACCACATGGAAGTCATACCTCCTGCAGAAGACAAAGCAACGTCCACATCAGTAGATGGTGTATCAACCACACAGAAGTCATACCTCCTGTAGAAGAGAAAGCAACACCAACATGAGTGGATTCACAGACCAAGTAGAAACTGTGAAAAGAATATCTAACTCATATCACATCAAAAGGCCTAATTTTTTTTACACACACACACACACATAAAGCCACAGAGACATACATACTACACAAAAACACGGTTCTACATCCTACTGTGGTGAGTAGTGACTGAGAGCTTAAAAGCTTGTGAGCTGTGATCTAAGATGCAACAACTGGTCACCCTCATCCAGTTGGTCCAGAGCAAAGAGGAGTGAAGAAAACCAAAGACACATGGAAACAATTGGTCCAAGGGACTGGTGGACCATGGGAACATCAGTCTATGTGACAGTGAGACCAGAAAAACAAGATGGTACCCGGCTACCACCGTCAACCACTTGGAAAGGGATCAAAATTAGAGATC